GTTTGTGATTTAAGTCGTGAATCATGCGAGGATGCACTTTTAGAAGAAATTGTGACCTACCCGAATATGGATGGAATTAATATTCTCACTGACGCTCGCCATGCCACACGGAAAAACTCCCGTTTTACTGATGTTGTTTGCATTGGAGCTAACACTCACAAAGTTATCAGGACGGAAACTGTATCAAAAGTAGACAATGCCTGCACACAAAAACACGAACTTATTGGAACTCAGCGTATCTATGAATATCTTGATAGTGTTGACAATGGTGTCGGAGTACATGTGAAATTACATTGTCATGACAGGAATTCGGTCATAAATAAATTTATCAGGGAGGAGCGCCCTGATACAACGTCAACAAATGACACATGGCATGCTACGAAAAATGTTACAAAGGAGGTTAAATGTGTGTGTTTGGGTCCAAAATACAAAGAGGGTGTGACGTGGCATCGCGAGTTATCGGACAAAGCAGGAAGTATCAAGACTAATTTTTATTGGTGCATTAGGAACTGCGATCAAGATGCCAACAAGCTCCGCGATAATATTATGAATGTGGTCAATCATTACAAGGATATCCATAATAACTGTTCAGAAACGTCGAGATGTAGACAAGACGCGCACTATGAATCATCCAAAACACTTATTTGTGACCCAAAGGCTGAGCTACTTCTGTGTCAAGCTTTGAAAAATACTGTTGTGTATAAACATACCGACGACTACGTTCATTGTATGGACACGTTTTTTGTTGAAAGTTTCAACAATTCACTGCTACAATATCATAACAAAAGAATTAATTTTTCTGACGATGTTTATCGTTTTCGGACGAATATGGCAGTATTAGACTGGAATGAACACGTAAATAGACCAACAACATCATCAAGATATGTCATGGATGCTAGAAACCCAAGACGTCAGGCCGAGACCAAAGTCCTCAAACGGAAAACTTACAACATGTGGGATCAGATTTGGAAGGACTATGTCGCCATTTTCCTCGAGTAAACGTAGGTAAAAAAAATTAAATGATTTTAATAGATTAACAACGTTAATTTGTTACCTACGATGATGTGCATAATGGTGTTCACCTGTTGCCGATTACCACATGTATTTTAGATTGAGACACGTGGGTTACTATAAATAGTAAGCTCCGCCCATTTTCCTTATACGTAAAATATTTACTGCGCATGCACCCCGATTAGCATCCGACCAGCATAGGTTGCTGGGGACCTATTCTAACCGGCAATCACCACGGCCAACATTAGCAGCCTGGAAGGAGGGCTCCAGGAGGCAAGCTGGGAGAGGATGGTGCCCAGGAAAGGGGGGGGAGTTCAGCATTGGTATCTGGCAGTGTGCCCTTTGACAAACATTGTGCAGTTCGAGTTAATCTTGAAACCACATTTGCGAAAGTTTTCCTTAGCCGAGACGTGTGTGCTCTCACATGCTTTCATGTCCAGAAGACTGTGGGGGCCTGTATCTGTTTCAATCATACGGGCAGCTCTACTGACAAATGAGAAACAAAGCCTGGTTTGATAGCAGATGAAAATACTTTCTTTTGCCTTTCAGGGTGATATGATGGGGCATCACAGTTGACAAAAGTTACCAAAACTAACAAAATAATCCCCAATCTCCTGCTAGGACTGCTAGTTAAATTGTTTCTTCATTCGGCCTTCTTGAGCCCCGCTGTCATTGTAGTAAAGTGAGTGACTTGGTGAGGTGAAATGGGATTTGACGTTGTGGTCAAAATAAATTCATCTTATACCAACGTGCAATTCATGTGTGTGCATGGTTGTTTATACTAGGGCAAGCTTATGCCAGCGCTATGGTGCTGAACTACCGAGATATCATGCTACAGTTTAGAATGGATACCTCACACAGACACAATTTATTGACTTCGAGCCGGTCTTGTTTTGTCCCCTAAATGCTGGCGGCAGGCAGGGTAACAACAAGTACCATATTTTACCTCTTTGGTAAGATGAGGTCAGGCGATCAAGCGACATTTCGCTCTCCCGGCGGGAATCTTACTTTGACTGTTTTTACGTCTTGAATTGTATTATAGCATGTATGTTAACAATCTAAACATGTCAATGTGAAAAAAATACAGGTGTATTATTGAGAACCCTACATATTTAGCTCACCTTGCTGAAGGCCAAGTGAGGTTGTGTCGTAGCGCTTGTCAGCCTGTTCGTTAACTATACATTTTCAAAATGTCCTCTGAAACTATATGGTTTATGGAGCTTCAACTGTTTGCCCGTTACTTTGGCATTTCTGCATGTATCATCAAGTCCTAGTATGTGTTATGCGGTACAACATATACTAGTTATGCCTTATTTTACATGTTTTGATATTTGATAAGCTACGACCTAGGACCACATATCACGGTTTTTTAAAGAGTTACTCCACGTTCCACCTCTCCTCAATGCTAATAAAGCTAAATCTTTGTATTAATGATCACAGCAATGGTGTCTCCGAATTACGGACCACACGCACGTGTGGTGTGTGTGTGTGTGTGTGTGTGTGCGTGCGTGCGTGCGTGCGTGCGTGCGTGCGTGCGTGCGTGTGCGTGTGTTGTTGTGTGTGGGAAGGGGGGTATACTTAGTATGAATGCGACCATGGCTGTATTGAATGTGAGATAGACACAATGCTCTGGCATGACAGTCTGTAGAATATTGGCGGTGTCGTGTGAGCGAGTGTCCGGCGTGAGGGTATTATGTGCCGCATGTGCCGCATGTCGCCTGATGCTTACATCCGGGTTCTCAGATTGCTCCCTGAGTGTACGTTGTTATTGCACGTCATTGTGCAGTAGACCACAAGCAGTCTCTATTACCTGCATAATGTTTTCAAACATAATTTAGAAAAATCAGAGGTATATTCTTTTCTCTTCCTTGGTGTGTTCCGAATGCATGAAAACACCCGGAAACACAGATATTCGAAACGTTATTAGATTTGATATCATTCTTGAACAATGTTTTCTATTTATTTATTTTTGTTGCCTTTTGTTTGTTTGTTTATTATTACATGATACATTATTTATATGATATGAAAAAAAAATCGCGACTACTCCAGTCTAGGAGTGCAGTTGTTCTACCCACCTGTGCGAGAGACAACCTCACCCTACCCATGACCTATCACACCTGTTCCACTGTTGCCTGATTTGAAGGAGATTCTCGTTATACGTCGTCAAACGTTTGTGTGTGAATAGTTTATATGTTCGAGGTGTCTCAACACGGAGTGCACATCAACTCATTCGGGCCAACTCGGCACTTTCCGCAATCTCCATCAAGATGTCACCAGATCACAACTTATGAAGTATTAGAAGAACACGCTGTATCGCGTAAAAACAAACCAAACAGAGACACTTTGAGGTATTTCATGAGGTTAATGGATGTCATGTTTGTCATGTGATACTTCCTGTATGGATTGAGTGGACCGAGTGTAGCTGTTTGAATCTGAGGTATATTATTGTGGTTTGAAACCTGATGAAATGAAGCAACCAACTGATTCAGATTCTGACTTAGAGCTCCAAGCTGAATGTGGTGATTTCACGTGCAAGTCATTAGACAACAAGTGAAGCGTTGAAACTTGACAGTTCGGTTACTGATACCTCACAGTGATGACATTTTATCATCTATCTGGTGCACACGGTTCAGTTGGTTGCAGATCACGAGAAGCTGCTGCTGGTGGTTGGGGCTTTGTCCCTACGATTACGTTAGAAACGTCTATTGTCTTGAATGGCCATAAATCCGGTACGAAGTATGATACTCTTTTTCATAATATTCCAGGCGGGATAAAGTAGCAGAATAATAGTTCCGCTTAATGCAGAATTCTGCAGAATGCTGTGTATTTATTACAAGGATATACACAGTGACAAATGTTTACATGTCTTTTAGTCTGTATCTTATACAGTGAACCCCGTTCGTCCTGAATCCCGGCATACCAGGCGGTCACGGGATCCTCTCCATTGTACTGTACGGGTTAATCTGGAAATGTGTTAATCCGGGCGACGTTACGTAAAGATTAACGAGGTTTCAGTGTAACAAAAACGTGGCCTTCGAAAATCATGACCCACTTTCAGATGCAAATGTGTCATCGATCACGTGTGTCCAGCTGTAGATGATTTATCTGAGCCTTGTCCCAAAAATTCTTAACGCTGAAACGATCGTAGCTCTCAAAGAATCACACCAGAGACCATCTATTATATGGCCTCTGATCACACCTTCACAGAATGTATCCGCCACTACATACAGATACAATATTTGTGAGTTCGTATTTACTTTGTTTTTTATTCATAATATGATATATACAATATTATGGAGTACTCCCTCCATGTAAAAGGCATCTTCCCTCTTCCCTCACATACAGTACGCCACGTACAGTGTACAATACACCCACTAGTTTCCTTCTTCAATTCATGCCTGTCCGCCCGACCCCCGGGCCCGTGGGTCTCCCCAGTGTTCAACTAACGCCTATAAAACCATCTTCCCGAGGCAAAAGAGTTAACTGATATATAAAAGTCCAGTTTCCACCCTTGCCGAACTAGGCTGGTATTATGGAGCTTACTAACGAGTCTATGCATAGTGCAATCAAAATCGCGCACCGAAATCGAAATCCGGTTCGTAAACTGTCATGCAGAGTTCTGTCGATTGCAGGATTTGCAAAACATGTGCACCGCTAACTCGTTGTCAACAGATATTTTTCAAATCTTTTCAAGTTTTGTAATCAAGGTGTAATCACATGATTTGAAGCACTTCGCGATGTAAGGCCCGTTTTATCGCGATATACATCTTGATTGTCGATCAGATTTTCTTGTCTGGGCGCCGCCATTTTGTTTGAAGCAAATGCAAATGATACGAGAGGTGGAATCTGATTGGTCCATAGGAGAGGCATAGAAGGGACATAACTCATAACAGCCACTGGTGGCGCTACGATCGAGCCTAGGAATTCCAGCCTAGTTCGGCAAGGGTGGAAACTGGACTTTTAAAGTCAGTTAACTCTCTTGCCTCGGGAAGATGATAAAACCTGATTGACTTCGGGCTGTCCTCCCATGCCAAGCTGACATGCCGTGATACAACTGGAATACTGTTCAGAGCGGCGTTAAACCCAACTCACTCACGTTTCACGAACAACCAATATCGCTACCGCTCAGTGCGGTTTGTGAAAGGAGTTTGCATTGGAAGATATTTTTGTATATGTGGTATTCAGAATTCTGTCGAAGAAAGCAAGTTCCGACATTTTTATATAGAAACAGTCTCTTTGATCGACGACAAACCCGTCCCCCCACACACTTTGAGGGACTTCCAGCGTCCGACCCACAATGCAGTAGTCTCGCAGCTGGTGCAACAGTTGTTTAAAATACCGAACTTCTTCAAAGAAATCTGACCCTTGACTCCAAACCTTTTTCCAGAAGACTTTCCTGAAGTGATTGTACAGATCATAGTCAGCCCTGGATATGTTCCGGTGTTTACCGTAATGGTCCCGCGAGAACATCCACTGCTGGCGTCTGTTGTTCTTGTTGTGATGGAAATATAATATGTCTTTGAGACTCCAGCAGAAGATGCGTTTTAGAAGTACCAACGATTCGTCGAAGTATTCCATGAGCATGACCAGGTCGAAGTCCCCATCGAGGTGACTGATGTACGCCATGGCCTCCGTCCTGTTGGACAGCGCGGGGAACGTGAAACCCATGTCGTAGGACTGGGAATTGCGGACACGGTCCATCCTGGACCTGACTGACCGTTGTCCCTCGTTGTCCAGATAATCCGCTATGGGATTCCTATGTTGGTGAAGGGTCTCGTTTCTCCGCTTGCCAACCAACACGTAGTATTCATACGCCGACACGAACTGATCAAAAGGCTCCCTGAGTATTGAGATGTAGCGCGTGTCCTTTGGCATGATCTCACGAAATGCATCATGGTTATAGGTCACGTGGTTCCACAGGATGTCATAGCTCTCCCCGGGGGGCGGGGGAAGTATTCTGTCTCTAGACACGGTGTCACCCCTGTGGCCAATATAGTTGTATGCGAATGTGTGTAACGGTTTTCTTGGCACCACAAAGTTGAGATTCCTGGTGAAACCGAATCGCTGTATGATGTTGGCGACTGTAGAGCTTCCAGCTTTGTGGACCTTCAGAAAGGCTAGTTTAGTGACAGGGTGACATTTGTCCGACCACCTGGGTTTGAACTCGACTCGGACCGGGTCGCCGTTGACGAAGTCGTAAGTCTCAAGAACAGGAACACTGGCGGTGTAGTTCCGACCAACCAGAAGCAGAAGGCCCCCGAAACTGCAGGTCAGCGCCGAGAACCTGTAAACAACAACAGTAAACGTAGCAGGGAGAGTTTGTTTGTTTGTTTGTTTTCTCCCACTGGCCGTTTGCAAGTAGTGTACTTGGATCAGTTTTATGTAGTGTGTGTTACGTTAATAATACAAGTGAGTGAGTTAAACGCCGCTTTTAGCAGTATTCCAGTTATATCACAGCGTATCTGTTTATGTGGGAGGAAAGCCCGAAGTGATGCTGACAAACCTAGAAACATGACCGGGACGAACCGGGATTCGAACGAGTGAGCGAAGCTTTCTGACAAACATATATATACCTGAATTCTGTATCTCGAAAACAAATATAATTGGCGAATTCCGAATGTAATTAAATAAAGCCGCGCTATTATATTGTTGATAGTTGTATACATCGTGTATGGGGGCATGTGTGTGTCCTGTAGCGGTTTTATGTGCTATAGTAGATTGTTAGTCGAAGTGGTGAAGAAATAAAGCCTATTCATTTTAGAAAGCCGACATTTGATTGGCTCAAGAACCCGGGATCTTTCATTTTGATTGGGCGAGTAAATTTCACGTAACCTGTGGAGGAATCGCCAGATCTTCACGCGCAGAAGATCTGATTTTCATGAGACTGCAAAAAGAAAACGTCCAAGGCCGGCGTCACGCCGTGATAAAACTGACATTCTGTTCAAACAGCTTTAACTAAAACTCGCTAACTTACTTTAGGACCCAGTGATCTAAGATTTCTAAGACTTACCTCCCTTACCTGCCAGGATACGCTGTTTTTGTGTTCTAATTACACATTCGTCCCAATTATGATTCTGGATCGGTTCGAACCATTTCATAACATAAACTTTGTTCATATCGGCGTATACACGTGAAGATCCGGATTAGAATAGGTCTTCAATTATCATCGTTTGCTGTAAAAGGCGACGATGCTAAGAGGCAACTTACGGGATCGGGTGGTCAGGCTCGCTGGCTTGGTTGATGCATGTCATCGTATCCCAGTTGCGTGGATCGATGCTCATGATGTCAATCACTGGATTGTCTGGTCCAGACTCGACTAATTACAGACCGCCGTCATATAGCTGGAATATTGCTGAGTGAGGCGTTAAACATCAAACAAACAAACAATCAAATCCAATCGGAGTAGAAAGCCAATCTCAACCATCGGTACACCCTTCGAAGATGCACACATCCGATGTGCAGGACTTACCACAGAAAGCAGTTCCTGTGTTTGAACTTCATCGCCAAACACCTTATGCGACGCCTCATCAGTGGCCAGTGCGAGGAGCTGTGACCGATCTTCCGCCACGCGTCGCTGGACCTCCTCCTAGTCCCTTCATCCACTGTGTCCACACAGTGACTGCCCCGGCCAAGATGCATCTGCAACAACAAACAGTGGACACGTCCGTAGTAGAGGAGGTGAGGGCTGCACGCTTGTCGTGAGAGTTTGTTACCGACGTCGCAGCGTCACCGTCCTGCTAAGTGGGAGGCAGCTGACCAGAACGTGTGTTGTGGGTAGTTGACAGAGAGTGAGGCCTGGACGGGGGGTGATGATGGCATAGGCTCACTGACCAACACTCGACATACAGCTCTCTCAACACATGATGGGATAGTGACCGTTACATTCCTCATGTCGTCGACACAGCACCATGAGATCTCAGTATTGTTGTATTATTGTGTGTCAGCTTGAGGTTTGTTTGTTTGTTGTTTAACGCCGCATTCAGCAATATTCCAGCTATATGACGGCAGTATGTAAACAGTCTGGACCAGGCAGTCCAGTGATTGATAACATGAGCACGCAATTGGGTTACGATTATCAGTACCAAGTAAGCGAGCCTGACCACCTGACCACTTGACATAAACTGTGTGCCCTTTTACATGTAATCTTCAACGTTATATACAGCTTCACGAACGTGTTAGGACTCAAGAATTGCTCTAAAACCTGACGCCCGGTGTTCCGACCATACTCTTCTCCAGAGACACCAGGTCTACCCGCGGACGCATTAATATCCATGTTTGAAGATCAAAATAACTCTTTTGCTCTTCCAGTATACTAGTAGCTTACCGCTTCTTCCTCTACAGACACGACGTGGTGTAACTGAAACACTGTTATAACCATGATACTTTAACAAAGAGGACTGAATCCCATTTCACTGATCAAACCTTTATTCTCTCATCTGGGCGGTTGGGTAGCCTCGCGGCAATAGGCATTCCCTAGAATGTGAGAAGCTCATGTCTTGTATCCCCCGTCAGAGGGTTGCTGGAATATTGCTAACAGTGGTGTAAAATCCTACTCACTCTCTCATTCCCTCTTTCAAACTTATTTTCGTTATTCATTGCTGCCGCGATCCACACTCCATTATTTTCCCTCCCACTGCTATCAACGAGTCATTCCCTGATCCAAGAAACAAAGCCTTTCCATTAGGCGGCGTATCGCGACCACAGTGGCTTAGCTATAGACAGGAACCGGCAATAAACATCACTAATCCATGCAGGCAAAGTACGGCACATTAAGTCAACAACAGTGTTAGTGTTCTGTGCTGATATACTGGGCTGGTGAGATAAATTAATATCTGCATATCTGAAAGCCATGCCGCCGATTTCCCAACATTTAGATAGGATAGGGGGTACTCTGGGAAGTAGATTGTTGTCTGTTGTATGTAAATACGATAGTGGAATATGTACATGTACTCCTGAATTATCCACAGGCGAGAGTGAGTAAGTTTGGTTTTACGCCGCCTTTTGCAAAATTCCAGCAATATCACGGCGGGTGACACAAGAAATAGATTTCACACGTTGTACCCATGTCGGAAATCGAACCCCAGGCCCTCGGCGTGACGAGCAAACGCTTTAACCACTAGGCTACCTCACCGCTACGTTAAACCCAATTTCACCTCACCTCACCTTTTACAATGAAACATGCGAACAGGCTACTAAGGCCGTGTATTTTGTTCTAAGGAAAGGCCGTGTAGTTTGTTCTAAGGGAAGGCCGTGTATTTTGTTCTAAGAATAGGCCGTGTATTTTGTTCTAAGAATAGGCTGTGTATTTTGTTCTAAGGAAAGGCCGTGTATTTTGTTCCAAGGGAAGGCCGTGTATTTTGTTCTAAGGAAAGGCCGTGTATTTTGTTCTAAGAATAGGCCGTGTATTTTGTTCTAAGGAAAGGCCGTGTATTTTGTTCCAAGGGAAGGCCGTGTATTTTGTTCTAAGGAAAGGCCGTGTATTTTGTTCTAAGGAAAGGCCGTGTATTTTGTTCTAAGAATAGGCCGTGTATTTTGTTCTAAGGATAGGCCGTTTATTTTGTTCTAAGGAAAGGCCGTGTATTTTGTTCTAAGAATAGGCCGTGTATTTTGTTCTAAGGATAGGCCGTGTATTTTGTTCTAAGGAAAGGCCGTGTATTTTGTTCTAAGGATAGGCCGTGTATTTTGTTCTAAGGAAAGGCCGTGTATTTTGTTTTAGGATAGGCCGTGCATTTTGTTCTAAGGAAAGGCCGTGTATTTTGTTCTAAGGATAGGCCGTGTATTTTGTTCTAAGGAAAGGCCGTGTATAACCTTTCACTGAAATGCCAAACTATTTTTGTTTGATGCAATGGTAAAACCAATCCTACTGCATGTGTGTGAAATATAGGGTTTTCAAAACTATAAGGAAACAGAAAACATTCATATCACGTGAGAAAACAAATTGCCAGTAAGAAAAGCACATATGTTTATTTTATAATGGCGAATCCGGCAGAGTACCTTAATATATGTCAGCTAAAACTAGAATGATTAGTGTTTGGTCCAAGTCAATGTCTAGCAAAACCACAAAATTGTCCCCTATACTTTACTCGCTTCTCTACAAAGATACAATTGTTAATTCTAAAGCATTTAAATGGTAATCATGTATACAGATAATTTTAAATAATTCTGGATGATCTTATGTTTGGCTGACGGAGAACTTTATTTCTTCTCCCTGGTTAAGAAAGGTCGTATCTACAAATCTACATGACATCAATCGGCAACATTAGGAGGCGGATATTTCAAATTCCTCAAAAGGTGCGAGTTAACGTATATTCAAAAGCGAACTTAAACTTGACTCCCTCTACATTTGGCTTGTTTAGGACTTCCTGCTTACATAAAGTCGGGAGATGGAATACATTACCCCTATCAGGGCGCACATGTAATCTTTGTCATCTATCCGATATTGGATATGAATATCATTACATTTTTGTCTGTGTCCTTTTTTAACTCAGAACGCAAGATATATCTACCTATATGTTATTCAGCTGCACTGAGTATGTTAGTTTTTCAGTTTCTCTTTCAATGTACAAAACTCGGAATCGTGAAAAAACAAAGCAAATATTGAAATATTATCATGAAATCCTCTTGCAAACCCTCTTCTGCCATCGTGTTATTTGTATTTGTCGTGCGCGTGTAGCCCATATGCCGTGTATATAGGACTGACGGCAAATAAAGTTCCGTTCTGTAGAACAGCAGCTGGCCACAAAGTACACAGAAGAGTTCGATTGTTCAGTGTTTCCGAACGGTGTATGTATTTAATATGTATATGATATGACAAGACGTAGCGAGCCTTCGCCGTTACTTGCACTGCTTGTGTTCAGAAAGAAACAGGTGCTTATGTCACGCGCGTTTTGTCTCGTGCATTAACGTGGATATTTGGTTTTTAAAACGTTTTGTTGTCAGACTAGAAGAAGCTCTAGAATACAATAAATATTCTACGATTCAAATATAATACTGTTTGGTCTAGCTTGACTGGTGTACTTAAATAAACTGCAGGGGAAAAGAAAGTATACACTTGACAATTGGATTTGACAAAACGTTACGAACATTATCAAAACGTTATCAGGCTGAAAACAGTCGCAGAAATACTGCAGACGTAGGTCCAAACACAACTAGGATACCTGGATCAAAAACATCACCATCGTATAACCATTTCGTGTTTGTTTCATATTTAGCCACCATCAGACCTTGATGTACACTTTCTGGTCCCCGGCAGTTTAGTTTAGTAAAATTAAATGTCAAATATGAGTATTGTGAAATACAAACAAAGAAAACCATTATTACCAAGAATCTTTCAAACAATAGTTACGTTGTGTGTACAAAAATAAAATGTAGCATTTATTGATCCCAGAACTAGTTTGATAATATGACTCTTATTGTCACTGAAATGTTGGCGACACGTCAGCTAACTAAACTGTGATGCTGGCACTTGTCATGAGTTCACAGTGCCATTTAGAAAACGGTCCAATGTAACTAATGTTATATTTTGGATAACACTTTCTTAGTAAAGTACAGATTCTAGTAGTTTTGGGGGTTGAGTCCCATCTGGGATTCGAACCCGGACTGCCAGAATCAAGTATGTCGTTCGATATCTGTGCGGCCTCCGTGTGCCGGAATCACGACTGTCTTCTCTCTCCCCCACTCATTCACGCGCAAATGCACGTCGTAGACAAGTTATTTTACCACCTGCTGACTTCAAGAAATATATCAAAAAGGGCATACGATTATATTTTGTCAGATTTCAATGCCTTGGATGACACACACACAGTATTGTCCAGACATCCAAACATTTTCCTTGTTTCTATATGGCATGTCGATAGTATTTGTTTGTTAGCTTGTTTAACGCTGCACGCGGTCATATTATAGCTATCTGGCGGCGGACGAGACAATCCTGTGATTGATATTATGAGCTACGAACCAGGCTGTCGGGGTACGATGACACACCTACAACCAAGTCCCCCAGTCTGACCTCTCGATCCATTAAGTCGCCTCCTACAACCAAGTCCCCCAGTCTGATCGCTCCATCCATTAAGTCGCCTCCTACAACCAAGTCCCCCAGTCTGACCGCCCCATTCATTAAGTCGCCTCCTACAACCAAGTCCCCCAGTCTGATCGCTCCATCCATTAAGTCGCCTCCTACAACCAAGTCCCCCAGTCTGGCCGCTCCATCCATTAAGTCGCCTCCTACAACCAAGTCCCCCAGTCTGACCGCCCCATCCATTAAGTCGCCTCCTACAACCAAGTCCCCCAGTCTGACCGCTCCATCCATTAAGTCGCCTCCTACAACCAAGTCCCCCAGTCTGGCCGCTCCATCCATTAAGTCGCCTCCTACAACCAAGTCCCCCAGTCTGACCGCCCCATCCATTAAGTCGCCTCCTACAACCAAGTCCCCCAGTCTGACCGCTCCATCCATTAAGTCGCCTCCTACAACAAAGTCCCCCAGTCTGACCGCTCCATCCATTAAGTCGCCTCCTACAACCAAGTCCCCCAGTCTGACCGCCCCATCCATTAAGTCGCCTCCTACAACCAAGTCCCCCAGTCTGACCGCTCCATCCATTAAGTCGCCTCCTACAACAAAGTCCCCCAGTCTGACCGCTCCATCC